ATTTTCTACTCATATGTATAATGTAATGTACATATGTATGTATATATTATGTACATATATATTGCATATAAGTATTGCATATTTCTAAAACATAATTAATTAGTTCTAAGATAACTTTAATATATTCGACAACAGAGATAAAAAAGATTATAATATAAATATACATACATATAGCAATGTGTGTGAGATTTTCTCTCTCTCTCTCTCTTTCTCTCTCTCTCTCTCCTTTTCTCTCTTCTAAAATATTTTAATGTACGTATTTTATTAAATGTATATGTTTTATTTATTATGTTACTAAAGATAACATATATTTTAAGTCAACGTGATATTCTACAGATAATACAAATGACTTGCTATAACATAAAATAATTTACATACGTCATTGAATTGTCAATGACGTATGTAAATTATTTTATGACTTTTTTTATCAATAATAGATTTGTTGCAAGTCCAATGCGTAGAATAACACGTTACCATAAAAAAACATTTAGCATAATAAATACATATCTATTTGAAAAACCTGTTAAATAATAATAACGACCGATGAGAACCTACAATTAATAATATTAATATTAGTATATGGTGATATACACATATGTATACATATGTGTTTTATACATCTTTTCTCTCTCGATAAAGTATACAAAAAAATGTTAATTATCTTGTTATAAATCCATTTACATGTGGTATTTTAATTTTATTGTATATTTCAATTTTTTCACGATTAAAGTAATAAAAAAATTATATTTATTTAAAATCTTTATTTAAAAAAAACAGTAAAATTGCTTTATATAGATCTTCAGACGTATTCATATACAATTATATACCATCACTTATTGAAAATGTAATACTATATTATTAGAGAATTGCAGTGTTTTCCAGAAGTATACTCTTATGCAATAATAACCGACGCAACTAATAACAAACTGTAAACTCTTGGTTTTACACAAACAGCAAAAACTAATGTTCTCTACGAAAACAAACTCTCTACCGTGATTCTCAGAAAGTATACAATGTATAAAACTATTTGATTTATCAAATATTTACAACCGTTTCAATATATAAAATGTTATCCCTTAATTTTTTACACATATACTCTTAATATTATGTAAATACACAAATAAAACATGATGATATAGACGTATACATAAATGTAAACATACTATCAGTATCTTATATAACTACTTAATTTATTTTTTGTTTCTTAATATTTAACTCTAAAGAATAAAATGACCTTACTACATTGACTAGTTTATAAATAAATATTAGGGCACAAATTAAAATTATAAATGTAGAAATTGATAAAACTGCTATAACGTCTCTATCATATCTTTGATGCCAAGGTTCATAAACAATAGTGTTAACAAGATGAGAAGCACCTTTGCGACGAATTACAAATTCAATCCACCAAATAGCGTTCTCTAAGAGATCATATGGTTTGTCTTTAATTAGTGCTTTAATTTCGAGCATTCTTTCTTTATATCTGCAAAAACATATAATTAATTAATATCGTGAAAAGAAATATATATTATCTTATAAATTTATTTTACTTTTTATTACAAAATCACCATCAGTTTCACAGGAAATGTGTTGTTATATTCAAGAACTAGAATCTGTTTCAAATAAAGTACTGTTTATTAAAAACGATATTACCTTTTATCGCTTATCACTTCCATTATAGTTGCGTTCAGAAGTTCTTTCGATATTTCCATAGCATTTAAATATTTCGCAACACCAAGATATACCATTCTGAAAACTTGGGCATATTGATCGCCTAATATCGGTATACCTACGAGCGGCACTGCATAATGAACAGCCTCTTCCGTGCTTTGAAGTCCTCCTTGATATATAAATAATTTGATGTTTGAATGAGCTATAAATTAATATGTTTCACAAAAATTACGATCCTATTATTAGAAACTTTATCACCATTTAGGTGTTTTTTTATATTTATAGTTTTACCAAGAAGACTTTGTTGAGGGAACCATGGCGCAATATAAATATTGTCACTTTTATTTGCAATTTCGCCATTCACTTTCAAAACGACTTTATACGGCAACTTTGTAAATACATCAATAAACGCATTAAGAATATGCCTAGGAAATGATAACATATTGACATTTGTGCCGAGACTCACGTAAACAAATCCATTCGGTGCGTTTGCTAAAAATTTCTCTAAATCCTGAAATAAAAATATTAGTATTTATTACTTTGACTCATATTTTTTGAAACAAGATATTTTGAACAATTAATAATAAAGAGTCTAAGGCTCTCTGTATGTATATGTATACATTTATTTTCGCACAAACACCCAGCGTATGGCTCTTATGATCGTTTATACATTTTGAACAAGTAAATACCGATTAAATTTAAAGTTGTGTTTACAACGAGCACAATATTTTTAATAACTTGTGTTAACAAACACACTTACATATGTGTGTCAATATGATTATACCAATAATGTCACAGTCTGAACTAAAGCATAGGCAATGACTCCGATATTAAAAACTTTCATCATTATATCAAATATATTGGTTACCTTTGATAATGGTGCGAGTTTACTTGAAACATGAAAACTTCCAAATAGTATAATATTTGGCGTTCTCGGTCTGGCAAACGAGATAGTATCTTGTTGATTGACAAGAACAAGACTCATGTTTCTTTCTATATCAGCGATATTTGGTATATTTTTTCCAAGATATTTTTCTGCTATCGTTTGCTGTTCAGGATAGAAGTCTTGCATCACGCGATATATGTGATACCACTGCCGAATAAAGTTCTTTGTTCTCTGCCACAGTGAAAGATTGAAACCGATGTCGTATTCCATTTCCCACGTTGAAGGATGCGACGGTAAAACAGGTGAACCAAGAAGATAATGAGTATGGCTATAGATTCCTAATGACAATCCACCTGCAAACGAGCACACAAAATATAAAAAGTAATTTTCTCAAAATAAAGTAATAGGTAAAAGCTCTTAAGTGAATTTTTATGCACTTATGTATGTTATATACGTGTGTAATAATAGTGTATAATAATTTCATATCTAGGAATATTATGTATTAGGTAATACTTTATTATGTTTCACAGAAAATCATAGTAGAAGTAGACTATTTTGACATAAGGTTCGATTATTGTACTTACCGATAAGAGGCGCATTAAATCTATGCGCCAAAGCGTAGAGAGCAGGTGTTTTCAAAGTTTCAATGATTACCAAATCGAACTTTTCACTACTATTTGGTGCGTACATTTCACGCACTTGTGGATGTTCGTATATAATTTTTATCAGTTCTCGACTCATTGGCCACAGGTGATCTCTTACCGTCTCTAACCATGGATACGCATCATTTAGATTATTTACAAAATCTATGTTAAAGTTTTGAAACAACTTATACGCATGTTTAAAACTGATCTCTGTCAAATTTGTTAAACTGGAATTGTTTATCGGATTCGTTGTCAAAAGGACAACTTCGTGTCCTCGCTGGCTCAGTGTGGTCCATATCGGTCGATAAGGAATTTGGTGACTATACGACGGTATCGGAATAATTGCTAGAATTCTTGCAGCTTCTATTGATGTAGCAATGCATAAATAACAAGTTATATAACACGTCACCGTTTTTATTTTAGTCATCTTATTAATATAAGACGTTATTTATGTCCTTATGCCGAACGTACAATCAACACGTAACTGCGCTGAGCCGAGAGCATACTTCTGCTTATAAGGCTTATACAGGGTGTTCCATTTAAGTTGACAGCAAAAAATCTTGTAGACAAAAGATTTAAAAAAAATAAGCTGACACAAGTTTTTTAGTATTTTGAGTGAGAAGTTTTAAATGACACTATTATTTTTTTTAATGTGTAGGCGTTTTCAAAGTCATTTTAAGTTTACTTTTTTTTGTATCATGAATTTATATGTTTTATTTTGGAATCGTATTCTACGTAAAACAATGCACAACTTGTGTCTGAAACATGGTTTTGTAGGACTTCTGTTTTTTAAGATATTGAAAAAAACATTTACAATTTCTACAACTGGTAAATATTTCAAAAATTTTAAATAATATTTTTTTATAGTAAATCAAGACAAAATATAGGAAAAGCTTGTTATTTATATGCTTTGTGATGCCTTGAAAGAAGATACTCATCACGTCGTACATTTTATCGTAGAATAGACAATTTATATTGTAAATGTTTCTCTTGATATCTTGTGAAACAGAAGTTCTAAAAAAAATGTTTCAGACACAAGTTGTGTATTGTTTTAAATTCGATTTCAAAATAAAAAATGTGAGTTTACAATATAAAGAAAAGTTAACATTGAAATGACCTTGAAAACGCTCACGCATTAAAAAACTAATAACGTCATTTAAATCCTCACTTAAAATATTAAAAGATGTGTCGGCTTTTTTTTTAATTTTTTAAATCAGGTTCTCTACGAGATTTTTCGCTGTCTTAACTTAAATGAAACACTTTGTACATAAGTCGATGTTTCTCTTATTTGCTGATCTCGGATCTAGATATATAGACTATAGATCTCTGTCCAATATAAACAGATGCGCTATTACGCTACAGGCAATTAGTTTAGTTTCTTATTATTTCAATATTCAAGCAAATTAAATTTTTATAATTTTACTTAAAGATAATGATATTTTTTATATTCTATTTTTTAATCGCGTATACAAACGTTACAACTTAACTGCTTTAAAGTGACAGCTTATCAGTTTCTACTTATTCAACACACTGACTTGACAGTGACTTTGTTAAAAGCAGATTTAATGCAGAATTCAAATAATTGTAACATGTGATTTGATGGGCAAATTTGAACTAGTAGCGAAATGTTGTGCAATAAGTAACCGATGCTTGTGATTATTTCAGACGTTGTAACTTTATTTTAAGTTATCATCAGTTGATTTCACTACAGTGAAAGTTGTTAGAAAAATATATAAGTTGCAGATGTACAAACTTAAATCGAAAACGTATGTATAAAGAAGATAATGGTTAGTACAAAAGTTTTATAGAAAAAAGATTAAGACAAAAGTTTTACGGTTTTAAGAGAGAAAAATGATGACATTATCAATTTAATTTATAGATGGCGCCACTTTCGAGATTGCATTATGGCGACCATTTTTAAAAATGGAAATCGATTTTTTGTTTGAAACAAAAGTTATAAGCGGCAATGAGACAAATACAACGGTTTTTTATTTTTTACATTTAGGTCATTTTTTTATTAAGTTACAGTTTTCTAAAGTTTACGCACACGCACATACATTAAAACAGGCCATCTGAATGGCCACACTTGCTTTTGATAGTAGTTTAGTTTCCGAGATTTCTCGTGATACCGGTACTTTTAATACACTCTGTACGTAAACATACTATCAATATCTTATATATAGATATAGATGGTCAATTTATTTTTTGTTTCTTACTATTTATCTCTGATGAAGTAGAATAAAATGACCTTACTGCATTGACTAGTTTATAAATAAATAATAGGGCACAAATTAAAATTATAAATGTAGAAATTGATAAAACTGCTATAATGTCTCCATCATATCTTTGATACCAAGGTTCATAAACAATAGTATTAACAAGATGAGAAGCACCTTTGTGACGAATTACAAATTCAATCCACCAAATAGCGTTTTCTAAGAGATCATATGGTTTGTCTTTAAGTAATGCTTTAACTTCGAGCATTCTTTCTTTATATCTGCAAAAATATAATTAATTAATATCGTGAAAAGAAATATATATTACCTTAAAAATTTATTTTACTTTTTATTACAAAATTACCATCAGTTTCACAGGAAATGTGTTGTTATATTCAAGAACTAGAATCTGTTTCAAATAAAGCACTGTTTATTAAAAACGATATTACCTTTTATCGCTTATCACTTCTATTATAGTTGCGTTCAGAAGTTCTTTCGATATTTCCATAGCATTTAAATATTTCGCAACACCAAGATATACCATTCTGAAAACTTGGGCATATTGATCGGCTAATACCGGTATACCTACGAGCGGCACTGCATAATGAACAGCCTCTTCCGTGCTTTGAAGTCCTCCTTGATATATAAATAATTTGATGTTCGAATGAGCTATAAAATAATATGTTTCGCATAAATTACGATTCTATTATTAGAAACTTTATCACCATTTAGGTGGTTTTTTATATTTATAGTTTTACCAAGAAGACTTTGTTGAGGGAACCATGGCGCAATATAAATATTGTCACTTTTATTTGCAATTTCGCCGTTCACTTTCAAAACGACTTTATACGGCAACTTTGTAAATACATCAATAAACGCATTTAGAATATGCCTAGGAAATGATAACATATCGACATTTGTGCCGAGACTCACGTAAACAAATCCGTTCGATGCGTTTGCTAAAAATTTCTCTAAATCCTGAAATAAAAATATTAGTATTTATTACTTTAACTCATATTTTTTGGAACAAGATATTTTGAACAATTAATAATAAAGAGTCTAAGGCTCTCTGTATGTATATGTATACATTTATCTTCGCACAAACACCCAGCGTATGGCTCTTATGATCGTTTATACATTTTGAACAAGTAAATACCGATTAAATTTAAAGTTGTGTTTACAACAAGCACAATATTTTTAATAACTTGTGTTAACGAACACACTTACATATGTGTGTCAATATGATTATACCAATAATGTCACAGTCTGAACTAAAGCATAGGTAATGACTCCGATATTAAAAACTTTCATCATTATATCAAATATATTGGTTACCTTTGATAATGGTGCGAGTTTACTTGAAACATGAAAACTTCCAAATAGTATAATATTTGGCGTTCTCGGTCTGGCAAACGAGATAGTGTCTTGTTGATTGACAAGAACAAGACTCATGTTTCTTTCTATATCAGCGATATTTGGTATATTTTTTCCAAGATATTTTTCTGCTATCGCTTGCTGCTTAGGATAGAAGTCTTGCATCGCGCGATATATATGATACCACTGCCGAATAAAGTTCTTTGTTCTTTGCCATAATGGAAGATTGAAACCGATGTCGTATTCCATTTCCCACGTTGAAGGATGCGACGGTAAAACAGGTAAACCAAGAAGATAATGAGTATGACTATAGATTCCTAATGACGCTCCACCTGCAAACGAGCACACGAAATATAGAAAGTAATTTTCTCAAGATAAAGTGACAGGATGGAACTTTTTAGTTTTATGCACTTATGTATGTTATATACGCGTGTAATAATAGGTTTTAATAATTTTTTAATTGAAGAATATTATAGTTAATATCTCTCTTATTTCACACAAAATCTTATTAATAAGTAGTAGCCCAGCAAAGACAGATATATAACAGCAACATAATCGTAATAAAATAGAATGTAACAAGTAATATAACCTGATCGTTGCATGTAACATCCATGGTTGTTGTAATTTTCTACTCATTATACATTGCAGTATAATATATAATATAAATATAACATGTAACTGTTTTATTACTATTAAATTGCAATTATATATTAATAGTGTTATATAACAGCAATATAAAATTCATATAACATCCCGGTAAAAAAAATTTTTCATGTATAAAATTGTATAGACATATTTGGTATATATATATATATATATATATATATATATATAAATTTACATAATTAGATATAATAATTTTAATTTGTGTATAAGTATATATATGAAAAATTTTGTACTGGGATTTGTTATGTAATCTATTACATATCTATTATATTGCTGTTATATAGTCATTACCAGCTAATACCAAGCAATATAATAGGTATATAACATGATTATATTAAAATTAGAAAACAAAGTTATATAACATCAATGGTAATAGAGTATAACAGCTGTTATATTACGTGTTACTTCTATGTTATATAGCAGTTATATTCTGTATTTGCTGGAAGTAGACTATTTTGACATAAGTTTCAATTATTGTACTTACCGATAAGAGGTGCATTAAATCTATGCGCCAAACCATAAAGACCAGGTGTTAACAAATTCTCAATGATTATCAAGTCGAATTTTTCACCACTATTTGGTGCGTACATCTTACGCACTTGTGGATGTTCATATATAGTTTTCGTCAATCCGTGACCCATTGGCCATATATATTCTCTTGCCGTGTCTAACCACGAATACGCATTGTATAGATAATTGACAAAATTTACGTTATATTCTTCAAAAAACTCGTACGTATGGTTAAAATTGATTTCTGTCAAATTTGTTAAACTAGGATCGTTTATTGGATCCGTTGTCAAAAGGACAACTTCATGTCCTCGCTGGCTCAGTGTGATCCATATCGGTCGATAAGGAATTTGGTGACTGTACGACGGTATCGGAATAATTGCCAGAATTCGTGCAGCTTCTATTGATGTAGTAATGCATAAATAACAAGTTATATAACACGTCACGGTTCTTATCGTAGTCATCTTATTTCGTAATACAAGATGTTATTTATGTCACTATGCCGGACCGACAGTCAACACGCAACTGCGTTCAGCCGAGAGCATACTCTTGCTTAAGAGTTGATACATGAGTCGTTGGTTTTCTTATTTGCTGATTTTGAGTCTAGATAAATTATAGATTTGTGTCCACGATATAAAAATATACGCTATCACGCTACAGATAAATACTTTCGTTTCTTAGTATCTTAATATTGTAGCAAATTAAGGTTTTATAGAAGATAACGATATTTTTTATATTCTAGTTTTTAATCGCACACATACGTTACAACTTAACTACTTTATAGTGACACAGTTTATACTTATTCAGTATATCACATGTGAGTTTGTTAAAAGCAGATTTAATGCAGAATTAAAATAATTATAATGTGATTCAATAGACAAATTTGTTATTGCATAAAACCGATAGCGAGATGTTATGCAATAAATAACCGCTTGTGATTATTTCAGACGTTGTGACTTTATTTTAAGTTATCATCAATAGATTTAACTACATTGAAAGTTGTTAGAAAAATATATAAGATGCAGATGTACAAAGTTAACTTAAAAACGTATGTATAAAAAAGATAGTGGTTAATACAAATTTCAATAATCAAGTATCAAAATGAATAAAAACCAAATATAATAGAAATTAATAGAATAATCTGATCTCATATTTGACATTATTAGACTTTACTTTATACTTGTATTATTGTACGTAAAAAATAAACTAGAATATGTCAAAAAACAATCATTTAGTAAAATTAAAATTCGTTAAGATGATCTTTGAGAGTTTTGTCTGTACTGTAGTAACAGCGAAGGTTGAACGACATAAATAGTGTATGAAAAGATAATGTTCCAAAAGTGGTAGTGTTTCAAGGTTCATACACTATTTATGTTGTTTAACCTTCGCTATTGACACAGTACAGACAAAATTCTCAAATAACATCTTTAATTACATATTGGAATTTTTATGCAAACCAGATTTTCACTATTTAATTTTATTTGAAAATAATGTTGTATTGGATTATTAAGTATGAAACTTGACATATATATAAAATTACATATGAAGATCACAAGAGAAGAACTTGTTAAGTCCTGTTTTTTGATTTTTTGTTTTTTGATGTTATTTAGTAATTAAAATAGAATATTTTAATTATCCAAAGCGAGAAGGTGAAATTTGTGATAGATTTCGAGAGTTAAGCATTTTTTTAATACGTGTAACACAGAAATACATGTACGTATTTCGTTTTGAACTGTAAAATCGCTCTCTTCTAAAATTACGGAAATGTGACGCATCAAGTTCTTTTTCTGTGGTCTTTATACATATATGTATATTTATATACGTTTTTACTTGTATATGTATGATGTTTTACATTAAAAAAAGACGCTCTAATGCATTGAATCTATCAGTTTTATTTAGGATAGATAAGAATTATCAGTAGACACGTTACGTAAGTATATACGCATATATCTATTTAGAGATAAGAAGCAAGTGTTACTAGTAAGAAGCATTCTTACTAGATAGATTTTAAACATTGTAAATAACAAATGTGTTTGTGTAAAGTAACGTGGAGAAATAATTTGAAATATTAGAGAGTTGCATGTTCTCTCCATAATAACAAAATTCTGTTTTGACATTACGTTACTGATAAAAAAAAAACAGCTTTCTCGTTTTCTCGTTATTACATGACTTAGGAACGTGGTCAATTCGTGCCTCGGCGGAAAGTGAAAGCAGTTCAGTTATTGCATCGCTTGTCTCTGATAAACCGCGATCCCAAAAAAACTCAGTACAGTCAGTGGACTGAAACTGTGGAATTTCTCTTTTTCTCTCATTTCTTGTTCGCTTTTTTTACAGCGTAAAAAAGTATATTTAAAGATATATATTATTTTATTAAATTGCATAAATCCTGTAAAACATACAAACGTGTAAATACAATTGTTTTTATTTAAATTGTTATAACGCAATGTGTTTTTTTTTATTTATTAGTTGATTCTTTAATTAAACAATAGTATTTATTCTGACATATACGTATATAAGAGCAAAACGAATATTATCGATTATAATATAATAATAATATAATTACAGTTTACTCTTACACACAGGTTTTACTTACTCATGCAGAACAAAAATTCCATTAGACATCTATTAAATATCGCAGCTGATCTATCGGAGCTGATAACGTGTAATGGACGTCTAATAGACGTATAAGGTTTTGTTCTGTATGGGTATATGAGTTAGAGTGTTTTACTTAATAATCTACAGATAATAAATGTTTAAATTTGGTCTAATATATTATCTTACGTAAACTGTTGCAAGAAAAAATAAAATAAATTCTGTTGTATTTTCGGAGCAAAAACGACAAGAAACTATTCAGGGTTACGGACCAAAATCTAAACTTTTTTCTCACAAGCATAGATACGTGTACGTATATATCTATCAATTTTCGCGATAAGTAAAAACTATGAGCGAAAAATCTATATGTGATAGTAATGAATGAAAAACTCCTTACAAAACATTCATGCCATTCGACGTATCACATTAATACTCCTGTTAATAATCCTTATGTAATCAAATTATACATTACCGTAATTAATGAGTGTTTCATCAAATATATTTATATTCTTTGTTGTACTACTCAGTTTGTACTACTTAAGTTATTTTTATACATTTACATTTTTAACAAATTCATGTTTAACTAAAGTGAAGAACCATGGTTTATTTATTTATTTTAATATTAGAAACAAGATTCTTTATTATTTTTCAAGATCAACATTCTTAAACCTTTATAATTTTGATAACGCAAGAATAATTTTGATGCAGATATTGACTCACTTCATTCTTATCGATAAATATATTATTAAAAATGCATTCGCTTTGAACGCTTTAAGCATCAGTCCATCTTTATTGCTCTTTAAATGTGAAACAAAGATAAACTGACGCTCAAAGCGCGTAAGCGTCCAAAGCGAACGCAACTTAAATGCGTGTGCAGTTCATATACATATATTATAGATTTTCACAAAGAAATAGACACATTTGTAAGTATTGTAATAATAATAAAAAAGCACATTAATCTTCGACAAAAGCGTGGGAGAACGAACGAGACGGAAGGATCATCTCTTGTACTTTATCTCGTAACTGCAGGAACTATTTATGACTGCAGTCCATTTGTCGAACGTCACGAGGGATTTCTGGAAATTGGTTTAACCGCGTATAATGGCACGTCCGCTTTCGGAGTTCACTCGTTTGGATTACCAGAGCTGCCGTAATAAAAACGTTGATATTGTCCCGCGATGGTACCGCCGGTGTGCGTGACTATTGCGAATTGACGAAAACGATCAGCAGACGCTAAAGGATAGACATTCCTTCGCTCGGAGACGAAGCGATTTCACACAAGTACACACTCTCTCAACATATATAAATTTTTTTGCATTAAGTTTTTTGTTGATCCATGTTATTTGCGTTATGTTGCAATTGTGTACCAGAATGCAATTGCGACATGCGCGTTGTGTAACGCGTTGTGAGTTTGGTTAAATAATCCTACAACGTTTCTACTTCTATTTATTGGAAAATTTTCAACAGTTAAAACAATTTCTAATGATTATTGTTACGCAACGATTAACATTTACGTCAATGATTGTATTCAAATAAACACACAGCTACGAATTTATTTAATATTTTAATAAGAAAACACTTGAGCTGTCTGTGAAGGTCGATTCATAATTTACATTTAGTAACGTTCAATCATCTAACACGTATAAAAACAAACTTTGAGTCATTTATAATTTTATGTGTTCAACATCATATATGTCAAGGAGAGTCAAATCGGTTCCGGACAGGTGCGACACGTTTCTTGTTAGCGTGATAACAATAACGACCTAAAGGCATCCCTGGTACCGTCTGAATTCTTCTGTAGAAGTTCGGCATGCACGTTTCAGCACAGCTGAAATTATTAACCTAACCTAAACTTCCATATTGTGTCTCGTGCAGAACTCGGTGGCATAATTAAGAGGACTCCCGCTGTCGTTGACTAGCACGTGACTCGGTACGGCCTGGCACATACATTTTCAGACATGCAAACCGTTTCTGTGAAACCCCGACGTGTCTTAGATTCAGCTTTACTCGGCTATCTGGATCTAGTTACGAATTTGTATTACGGGAAAGATCGTCAGGATTTCTCGACGAAATTGGAAAGGTTCTCGCACATTTCTTTAAATTTCTTTTGTCGCGATTACAAGAAACGAGATATGTATATATTTAGTCTTCGTAATTTTCTAAAAAGCTTTGAACAAAATTACTTTATAAAATATTTCTGTTGTTTAAAGAAAAAACTTACGACCGAGTCACAAAATTCTCAAATTCAATATATATTTTTTTCTCTATTGGAATTTCATTTCTTGTTCTAATGTTGGAGTTGGATTTTTGCAAAAATAAAAGTCGCACGCGTGAAACTGATTTTGTAAAAGCCGTAAAAGATTTTTATCACATTTTGTAGACGGTAAGTCGGAATATGTACGAAATAGAGAAAAACGTTACGCACACAGTGCAACTGACTGGCGCGACGCGTTGGTGCAACGTGGGAATGCAAACGCGTTGCAAAGCAAGACTTTTAACATCGCCTTTAAATACGACAGCGAGCGGCGCACGCAACGCGGCGCGGTTTGGCGCGGATATGTTTATTCAGTAGTACTTTGTGAAAAGGGTCATCCGGAGCGCGCGGAAATAGACGACGATACCACCCAGGAGGATTAGAGGCTTTAAAAGCGCGAAGTGTGGTGGACGAAGAGAGCGGCGAAGATGCGAAAGGGGGATCAGCGGCGAAGAGAGTCGCGACTATCCAACTCGCGACTATCGCATCTTGTAAATCAAGTATAATTGTAATTTATACCGCGCATCATCCTATGTTAATTATAACCGGGCGCAGCGTCACGCCTCGACCGCGAAAAAAAAACGAGTTCACGAACGCACACACCGCAACCCCAGGATTTACGAGTCTCGCGGAGGGAAAAGTCCCTCGCACCGAGGGTGTTCGCTCGCGTCGCTCTCAAATATC